TCCTCGGGCTTGATGAGGTGGCCGCTGAAGGTGATGTAGATGTCCACGTCGTCGCTGTAGATGGCGTTCTCCCGCTCGCGCTTGAAGAGCCGCGCCCAGACGCGGTCGCCGGGCGCCAGGGCCAGCATCACGCTCTGGCTCTGCATGATGCTGCGGTCGCTGGGCTGCGCGTACAGGATGACGGCCGCCTCCTCGTTGTGCATGACATGCACGTAGGTCTCCTTGAAGTTCCAGCTGTGCACGTTGAGGCTGAAGAAGTAGAGGCCGCCCAGCGGGGCCACGAAGTGGCCGGCGGCCATGTCGAAGTGCCCGTCCGGGTTGACGAAGACCGTGTCGAAGGGCAGGGGCTGGAAGCCCTCGCTGCTGTGCAGGGCCGTTCTGCGGCCCACGGAGAAGGCGGAGAAGCGAGTCTGGCACGGGCTGCCCGGGCTGCCCGCCTGCCCCTTGTCACCCTTGGTGCCCTGGGGGCCTCGCTCTCCCCGGGGACCCTCCTTGCCCAGCTTCCCAGGTGTGCCCAGCAGGCCCCGGTCCCCTTTGTCACCTGTGGGAACAAGGGAGAAGTCAGGGCAGGCCCCCGGGCACCCGGGCCTGAACGAAGGGGGCACCTACACTTGTCTGTGGAGGGCTCTGCCTCTGCCCAGAGAAGAAAGGCCAGAGGAACCAGCATTTGTGGAGCACCTACTGCCCGCCAGGCATGGCCTCCCTGAATGTCCCTCTAGAGAAGACACCGACCATTTCCACTCACAGAGAGGTTAAGTGACTCGCCCAGGGTTGTACAGCTCAGGAGCAAGAGAGGCAGGGCTCGGACTCCAGTCTGTCTCCACACCCGCCCATCCCCGCGCCTTCCCGGCAGAGAAGGTCCCGCTGCCGTGGGCTCTGGGAAGGCAGGCCCAGCCCCCCTCCCCGCCAGGGAAGGGGGACACTGCATGAAGCCAAGCTCCAGGGCGGGTGGGCAAGTGGCAGGGTGCACCTTGCACTTCTGACCCAAAGAAGGAACCAAGGAAAGTACCCAAGGGAAGCCCCCCTGGTAGGAGCCAGGCAGCCCTTGGCTGGCTTTACCCCGCTGTGTGCCCAGCCCTAGCTGGGGTCTTGGCTGTTGAAAAGGCGAGCCCTCAGCAAATGCCGCGTGGGAAAGCGCTCTGCAAACTCCGCAGACACAAAGCAGGACCGTTCACCTAGCACTGCTTGGCCCCTCTCCACCTGCCCGGGCGTCTGGCAGTAGCTCACCTGACCCCCAGGCAGGCACGCCTCTGCCCGGCCCTTGTTCCAGGCTGACCTTGAACACGAGAAGCAGGTGGCCACCTATGTCTTGAGGGACCTGATCCCAACTACTTCCCTCCGCTCAAACCCGCCCCTGCGCCCCATCTCACTCAGAGGAGAAACCCAAGTCTGATCTGGGCCCTGCTTCATCTCCAACCCCAGTTCTTTCCCTTGCCACTGCTCCTAAAACCCCAGGCCCACTCCCACCCCAGGACCTTTGAACGTGCTGTTCGCTTTGCCTGAAATGCTCTTCCCCAGATACACGTGGCTTCTCCCTCAGTGAGAACTGACCATCCTGCTTGATAGGCAAGCTGCCCCCAGACCTGCACTCCCCATGTCCCTTACCCTGCCCCACCTTGTCATCTCCACGGCATTTGTCACCATCAAACATTGTATCTCATTAACTTGGGTAGTATGCTGATTGCTGTCTGCCTCCCCCACTAGAATGGAAGCGCAATGGTGGTAGGTATCTCTGATCTGTTCATGCTCCAGCCCCAGAATTCAGAAGAGTCCTGACACATAGTAGGTGTTTAATTCATGTGTGAACGAAAGGGTCGGGAATAACTGTCTGTCCTGGTTTCTCCTGCTTCCTCCACCTCCCCTCCCCAGGCCCAGGAAGAGACCGCCCCCCATGCCCTCCATGTCCCCGGCCAGGCCAGTCCAGCCTGAGCCACGTACGGGTACTCACCCTTCAGGATGGTGATGTTAATGTAGGGCCTGACCTCAGGCCACACGTACGGGAGGGAGGATGGCGAGGCTGCGGACTCATCGGCAGCATAGGCGGGGGCCAGGGGGTCCTCAGAGTCACAGCACCGTCGGCAGCGCCCGGGGGGACTGGAGGCCAGGGCTTCCCCGGAGGTGTGCTCCTCGGTGGGGACCCCAAACACCAAGAGAGGGAGCAGAAGGACTGTCCAGAGGAGGTCCAGGGCGGCTGTCCCCATGGCGGCCTGGAGCGGGGAAGGAGGAACAGTCTAGCTAACTTCACATCTCCGCTGTGCCTGTGCCTGGCATGCATGCTGCCACCCACAGCAAGTGTGTTCCCGACATAACTCGGGGAAGGACGCCAGGGCCCCCACTTAACAGACAAGAACACTGAGGTCCACACAGAGAAGCCAGTTCTCCAAGGTCCCAGAGACTTGTGGCCGGCAGGGCAGGGCCTGGAGGCTGAGTCTCCCGGAAGGATCCCCGTCTCTGAAGGTGCTGCCACGCAAGGTCCCTGAAGGAGGAAGCCCCTCCAGAGAGAGCCACAGCCCAGCAGAGGCGGCTTCTGGGGGACCTTAGCTGGGGTGGGTGAGGAAGGCGCCCCAGCTGCCCCTGGGCCAGAACCACTGAGGCTGTCAAATGCTCTCCCCACCCTCCCCCCCACCCTCTGGCTTGCTCTCTCACCATTGACAAGTGAGAGGGCCCTTGGGAGGAACGCAAAGGATCCGCAGGCTTGCTCTGTAGGGGAGGGGACTCCGGGCCCAGCCCGTGGTTTGGGGCATGAACGCGAGGTCCTGACAAAGGAGCTAGGAAAGTTCGTTCATTCTAGCAGGCAGGTAGCAACTTCCATCAGAGAACACACGGGGTTCTGCCTGGGGACGGGGTTCTACTGTGGAGCAGTGAGGAGTCGCTGCTGCAGCCACTGCTGGCCTGCTCGGGCCTTCCTGCAAGGGACAGGGCGCTCCTGGGGCAGGGGGGCACATTAGACACAGGAGAGAGGGCACCACAGAGACTAGGGGCCTTGGCACGGGCTGGTGCCAGCCCCCCTCCTCTGGCATCTCTGTGCAGTCAACACCTGCACAACCTTACACCGAATCCTTGCAGGGAAGCCTCGGGCGAGAGTTAAATCATTGGAAAGTGGTTGTGTCAATCACAGTGGACCTGCCAATAAGCTGCCAAGGTGGTCAATTGGAATGAAGGGGCAGGACTAGGAAGCCTGGCAACTTGAAAGGCTCCGAGAAGTCCAGGCTTTGTGAGGACCTGCTTTGGCCCTGGCGAGAGAGGAGGGATCCAGAGTTCCTGGAGAGGGGCAGGAAGTGACCCGGACACCAGCGCGGGAGACAGGCCGGGGCTAGGCGGGCAGGAAGCCGGGCAGGAGCCTTTGAGGTGGCGGCCGCCTTTGGGGGCTGGCGCTGAGTTATCGCAGCATCAGAAACTCGGCTTTTGAAACTAGGCTGGTTTTTACGCTTCTGGCGTTTCTTTGTTTATTTCCTTTTTTGTTCTCCTTTAACATTTAGTACAATTCAAAAATATTTTTCTGTGGTTACTACCCGTAGAGGAGGTATTGTTTTAAACGCCACCCTCTCTCTCTCTGAGCACTGCGGTGAGAGCTAGGTTTTAAAGGGGCAGAAGCCCTGTCCTGAGTACCTCCCCTCCCCAGACGGCTAGCAGCAGAAGCGAGGGGGTGCGGGGCAGCCTCCCCTGCCATCAGCCCCTCCTGGAGGTGTCCATTCCCCAGCTCCTGCCCCCAGCCCGGGCCCCCTGGCCCGGTGTCCTGGTTCTGCTCTGTAAGGCAGGTCAAATCCACACAGATCAGCATCCTCTCTGTCCATGATGTTCACCCTCACCTTTTATTTGTAAACTGCACATCCCAGTGGTTTTGAGAAAAACAACAATCCCCTATTTCCTGGCCAGAATGTGGTCTCATGGGACAAGGTGAGGCCCTGGAGTCATACGTGAAATCCCAGGCTCGTTGACAAGCTGGGAGACCTGGGACTAGTGGCTGGACCTGCTCCTTGGCATTTACAAGGAGATGGCACCGCCACCTCCCCGCCGCCGGGTTGTTTGGGGAGATTTACGCGCAGCGAAGTTGGCTGACCTGCAAAAGACTCTTAATAAAAAGTTTGCTCCTTCTTCTGCCCGGCGTGACCTCTTCCCGGGACAGGGCAGGGCAGACCAGGGCTCCTCCAGGGGACTGGCCCGTTTGGGGACCTATCTGCTGGCTCCAGCCAGATGACAGTCAAAGGCTCTGAGACACAAACTGGCCTGGGGGACAGGAAGCAAAGCCTTAAACAAAAGAAATGGTGACAGCCTGGATCACAGACTGGCCATGGAGGAGGGTGCCCGGCAGGGAGTGTGAGGGGCCGTGCCCCTGGGGGTGGCTAGGGGGTCCCTGCTGCCTCCACTCAGGAGCTGGGGTCTCCTGGGGGTGGGGGAAGGGCCAGGCCCCGAAGAGTAGACTTGGTGTGCGTCCCAGCCCACCAGGGTGGGCACAAGCCAGGAGCAGCAGAGGGCAGCCCTTCACCAGGGGCTACGGCCTCAGTCACAGGAGGGGATGGGGAGGGGAGAGCCTGGAGGGCCTGGCGGGCGTCAGAGGAATGGTGCAGGGCCCGAGATGTGTCCAGGAAGCCAGGAGGGAGGAGAGGAATTCCAGGCTCTGACCCCAGCCTCCTCTGGGGGTGGGCGGCCCTGCTGTGGGTGGGAAATGCAGGACCTCCATCACTCACCCTCCGTCCCGCAGCCTCGCCCAGCGCTCACAGACCCCGGGCCTCGGGTCAGCCTCTGGCTCCTTGGCCCATGTCTGCAGTAATAACTGGTTGCTGGCCCAGACCCCCAGGCCAAGCCGAGGAGGGAGGGAGTAAGGGATGGAGGCAGGGCGAGAGGGAGGGAGGGCGGAGGAAGAGGGCTGAGCTGGCTTCCCACGTCCCCTCCTCCCTGCTCCCTCCCCTCCAGCCGCTGGGTTCTGCCCAGATAATGGGAGCTCTGGATTTCCTTTGCTTAACTCTTTGGTGGGGTCTTGTTGGATTCAGAGGCCCAAAAAGTCCGCGCCAGGAGGTAATCGGAGGCCCCTGATGTGCTGGCAGAGAAACTGAGGTGGGGAGAGAGGGGGTCAGGAGCCCCTTCAGTTGCTTGGGGAGGGGAGGCAGCTCTGGAATCCTGCTACTGGGGGCCCCCAGCTTAAGCTGAAAAGGGGAGAGGGCACAGGAACCAGCCCGGCAGCCTCAGTTCCAATTCTGGTGCCACCACCCACTCATAAGTGACACCCTAGGTGTCTGTAGAACTCCAGTGCCAGCCCCCTCCCTGCCAGGCACAGGAGAGGTTTGCTGAGAGAAGGTATTACCTGCTGGGCTATCAGGGTGGCAGCCGGACAAAAACCCCATCCCAATGGGTGCCAAAGTCCTCCTCCTCCAACTAGAATTTTGCCATGATTGATTCATCCTCCTGGTCTTCTCGAGCCAGTGCCCCTGGGGAAATGCCCCCCAGCAGTTCACAGGGTCCTGCCTCGGCTTCCTTCTGGTTAGGCTCTGGGAGGTTTAAAAAGGCGGCAGCCTCGATTCCCTGCAGCCAGAGAACCCAGTGCAGAGCTGGTCCATGTCCCTTGCTCCCCAGCACCCTCACATTCTACATTTTTTAAAAAAAAGTTTTTTATTGATTTCAGAAAGGAAGGGAGAGGGAGAGATGGAAACATCAATGATGAAAGAGAATCATCAATCGGCTGCTTCCTGCATGTCCCAGACACTGGGGATAGAGCCCACGACCTGGGCATGTGCCCTGACTGGGAACCAAACAGTGACCTCCTGGTTCATAGGTCGACGCTCAACCACTGAGCCACGCCGGCCAAGCTCATTCTACATTGGTGCTGTACTTACTGCCTGTCCAGGCCTCTTCTTTGCAGGGGCTTCGTTCGGTACCTAGTAGGTCTTCAGATCCATTATTTGAGGGAGCCCTTGGGAAAGGAGCTGATGTGACTCCCAGGTCACACAGCTGCTGAAAAGGAACCACAACCCTACAGAGCGGAAGTGCTCTCCATCCCACTGGAGTTCCCACGAGGGCACATGGGCACCGCTGTGGGCAAAGGCTGCCGTTCAGGGTTTGCCGGGAGAGGGGTGACATGATCACCCTCAGGAGGTGCAGGCGTGCCGAGATCTTGGGGGATTTACTGAAGTCTGGACTTTGGGGCCCTAAACCCACCCACCACCACTCGCAGGTGAGCCAGGCGTGGAGGACGGAACACGGCTGGGCTTGTGGCCTTGACCAGCTCTCACCGGAGCCTGTTTTCCTCTTTGGGAGATAACCAACAGCTGCCTGTCCAGGCCTGAAGGACGCTTAGAGATGATCTAATCCAATTCGTTTATGTTCCCCAGGGACACTGCGATCCAGGGAGGGCAAGTCTGGCTCAAGGTCACACAGCAGCAGGAGTCCAAGCTGGGACGACAGCCAGGCTCTCCCAACGTCTAGCTCTGCTGCTTCTCCCTCCCAAGCCCACCTGGGGCCCCCCACTCCTATTTAGGGGTCCCAGGGCCCCAGACAAAAGGACTATGGCTGCTGGGAAAACGGTCGGGTCCACACTGGCTGTGCCCTCCGTGTGGCCCTGCCCCCGGCAGCACTCCCAGGGCACAGAGCCAGGGCTGCAGAGGGACAGAGCCAGGGAGTCACCTCCCACCCTCCCCACTCCTGCCGCTGCCGCCAGGAAAAGCGCTGAGTCAGCAGCACTGGAAGGGGAGACAGCTGGGTTTTGGTTTAAAAAGCCTCGCCTCTGAGAAAGGGGGAAGGGAAGGACAAATGGATGGGGAGCAGGAGGGGGACACCGGAATGGTTTTGTCAGGGCCTCTTATGTGGCCAGCGCTGTGCTCTGAGCCCACTCAACCGCCCCTCTGCGGGGAAGGCTGCTCATCCCACTTAACAGGTGAGGAGGCTGAGCCCTGGGAAGGCACTTGACGCTCCAGGTTCTCGGCCAGGTCCTTTGGCCCCCAGTCACATCATGCCCCAGAAAACAGCCCCCTGCCTCCCTGGGTGCAGGGCAGCTGGCTGGGGGCAGGGCAGATTAGAGAGCAGGACTCAAAATATTACACTTTAATATCTGTCCTCCACTCCCTTGAACTGAGTCTGGCTCTCCTCCCAGCTTGCCTGAAACCCCTCCATTGGTGCACCATCCCTTGGCCCCCCAGCAGGCCGGGCAGCTTGGAGACAGAGCTGCAGCCCCAGGGCAGACAAGCCTGGGTGGGTCTCAGCTCCACCGCCTGCCTGCCTGCCTGCCTGCCTGCCTGCCTTCTCCGTGTGAGACCTTGGGCATGTCTTCCCCCCATCCAAGCCTCAGTGTCTCTGGGCATGAGGGACATGAGGAAGCCAAGGCCACCTGAGCAGCCTGGTGGGACGCCCGCCGGGGGCATGCTATCCTGGCCGCCCCTCGGGGCTGCTCCTCGGTTACACTCTGAGTGTGACGAGGGGCTGGGCCCATTCTCCTGATGCGCACAGATGAGAAAGTGAAGCACAGAGGCAGACACTCAGAACCCACCCCCAGCCACGGGCTGGGAGAAGGTATAACACAGTGACACTGAACCGGTGCTTGCAAAGCCCTGGGAACCGTGTGCCTGTCAGAAAAGTGAATGAGACCCAGATGATTCCTGGGGCCAGGCAGGGGCGTGGGGACTGGCCAGTCACTGATCCAACTGTTCAAGGGCAGGAACCACTTCAGAGACTAAACAAAGGAAGCCGTGAGCGCCACCAACTGGAAACCCGAGAGATCGGGTCGCGCCTGTCGGCCAGGGATGCTCCCATCCCACCGGGCCCATCACCTTCTTAGGGAGCCGAGGGGGGAGGGGGAGGAAGAGCCCACTGAGACGCGCAGGGCTGGTTGGGGCGCCCATTCCCTCCCTTGTTCTTCCAAACCCACTCCCGCAAGGTGGGCAGAGGCCCGATGGGAACCTCCCTGTCCCATCGGCAGGCTCCCTCGCCCCCTAGTTCTCCTGAGCCCCTCCTTTGACTAACTGGGTGGACTTCACTCTCTGGGCTCAGTTTCTCCATCCTGGGCTTTCTGCAACCCATGACTGGTTCCACAGGTGCTAACCCGAATTGGGCGAACTGCCCCACTTTACAGAAGAGGAAACTGAGTCCCCAAGAG